TTTTTCATGACCGGTAAGGGGATCGCAACCCTTGGTGTGGTGTTGCCCCCACCACGGTCAGCCAGGGAACGAACCGGCCATCCCTATATAGGATCCGAACCCGCGGGGCGGGAGCACCGCACTCTCCTGAGTGCGCCACAGGGCCGGCCCTATAAAGGCCATTTCTAAATAGCTATATCAAAACTTTATCATTCTCTCACTAAACTGAAAACATACCCCCATTCTAATCAGTATTTCTACACCAAAGTTCCTATCAAAGCCCCACTTACTATATGATTTTAAAATACAAATTCCAGTAAAACAAAATAATTTGGACTCTACTAAGAGTTTACTATATTGAGATGTAACTTACAGTAGACAACAAGAGATTTATCACTTAATCTTTCTGCTCCAGGTTAACCAGCTGGGTAATAACCTGAACAATAACATTATTTAACAATACCTTCTCTTCCCTTTCCAACTGAATGCTTTAGCAAATTATAACTCTCTTCCAATATATTACTCCACAGAATAACAACACTTTAATGATTCGGATTATTACCATAAAAGAACATACTTTTCTGGACTAGTAATATGGAAGGTAAACTATATATGAGGGGGCTTTAAAGTTAATGGAAAGATTTGTATTACCTTTTAGCCCTATTTTTCCATGAACTTTTGGAATTGCCCAGGTATATTCAAGTAAATTATTCTTGAGTGTGTAAAATGAACCCAGAAGTTTGAAATGAAAGTGAAAATTATTCCTGAAAGAAACAAGACTCCTTCCAAGACTCAGTGTCTAAAGATAATTTTTTAAATGGACCATTACAATCTCAAATAATAATAAGCCTCACCCAAGAAACATCTAATTATTTCTCAAAGACGCATGATGTTTAATTGTTATGAAAAAATAATGATTAATGTAAAAAAAGTTATATTTCACAAACTAAAAAAGGATTCCAAAAAATTTATTTCATATCCCTATTCTGTCTGCCTTAATCCCCCACAGGACTTAAATCCTAAATACACTATTCATGGTAGGCATTGAAATATCTGCTGAATAAAAAATGAGTAAGTGAAGTAAATGAACAATTATCTTTCAATAATAATGTCTATATATTTCAAAAAGAAAGAAACTTAAGAGGAAATTGCTATTTAAGCCAGTTACACTCTAGTCTCCTCACCTATATCCCACAATTCAAGGAAGGCAATATTTTGTCCCAAATGAAAGCACTGTGTTATAGCAATGCAACCAATCCCCACACTGCAAATCCAAAAATTTTAGTGGCAACTGAAATGAAAATAAGCACACAAATTATCTTTAAGAAAAAAAAGATAAAACAAAATGTCATGTAGATGAAATTTTATTTTTTTAGTGGCCTCAGGTATGCAAAACTACATTATTACTAATTGGTTCCTCACACATTCTTATCACTGGTCCAAAGTCAGTTTTGAAATTTGTTCTATGATAAAAAGAGAAAAAAAGGGACACAAACAGTGAAGGAGAGAGAAAAATTGTGTCTTTTATAATTAGGGAATATGCTATGAAGTTACACTGAGGACTTTCACAACTCTCTACTTGAGTGCAGTAGCCATTATACATTATGACTCCCAAGAGTCAGTAGAGCAGTTACAAAGACTCTGGAGCCAGACTGCCCTAGTTCAAATCCCAGCTCTGCAACCTAATATTTGTGACTCAGGCAAGTTACTGAATCTCTTTTATGCCTCAGTTTCTTCATCTATAAAATAACAGTACCTACACTTCAATGCTGGCACTATTATGTTACTTGTATGAGGATTAAATGAGTTAATATATATACAGCATTAAAGCAATGCCTGGCATTTAAGTTAAATAAATAAACTCACCATAAACTATCACACCGTAAAGCTAACTCAGAAATTATCCTTATGACATGTATAAGACTTTTAAATCACAGTATCCCACTGATTCTCCTCACTATTTATCAATGTGAAAATAACACATTAAAGTTCAAGCATCTTCACAAAAACTCCTCTTAAAAATATTTCTGCACACTGGCTTTTGTGCATGACTGACCACACACACACACACTTGTATACAGTTTATTCCCCCCCCCCAAAAAAAAAAAAACCCACTAAGATGCTGAAAATCTAACATACAATTCTACAGTTCCTTCCAAACATTGCAAGAAGATAAATAAAAATTTAGAATTGATACAAGAAAATGTAAAAAGGAACTTGCTCAGGTCACTCCACATGATCCTTGAATTTCATCTCTTACCCCACAGCTGACCAAGCCGATAGACATACTGTATTAACATTCCTGGGAGAATAAAGCCATTTAAGTTCCAAGCAGAGTGCCTGGCCTACAATAGGTGCTCAGTAACTATTTACTGAATTAATTAAAAGTGAAACTACTTCTGGCCTATACCCTCCTTTCTCTATCATTGTCAAATGCACTCTGGATAATCTTTTTTTTAGAATGTCTAGATTCACAACAGCAAGCCAATCAATTCTGCACAGGAATTGACTGGGTAGTTTTAAGGAGAGGAAGTAATTAAAATACAATAAAAAGAGCAGACAAAGAGAAATAATTCCTCACCATAGAGTTCACTGTATTATGATTCTGAATTCGAGTTTTTTGCATCTTAGGAAAGTTACTCAGGAAATTCACTATTGAAAATAAGACTCCATTTAAAAATATAGAACCAATCCCATCAACTCTAATTTCATAAATACTATGAAATTAGTTTTCCAGTGAGATCAGTAGACACAGAAGTCCAAAGAAACTCATTTTTCCCAAGCATATACTCCAAATTTAGTTACTTCAGTTAACAGCACCAAATATTAAATCTATCTAACGAAATGGGTATTTCTAACCAAAGCAAACCAGCAGATCTCTACTGAATTAAACTTTTTTCATGCCAAAGTCCTATGCAATGGCCTCAGTCAAGGTCCTTGGCTCAGCGGTAAAACAAGAACTGTTGGATTAGATGGTTCTCAAGATCCCTTTCAAAAAAATGAAATCCCAGGGTTCTAGGACTTAGATTTGTCCTGTGCTATACCATATTGACTACCTTTTTTTTTTTCCCTTTTTTTTCGTGTCCGGCAACGGATCGCAACCCTCGGTGCCGCACCCGCACCTCGTCCAGCCAGTGAGCGGGAACCAGTCTGTATGTGGGATCCGAACCCTCGGCAGGAGCGCCGCCAAACTACCTTTTTTTTTTTTCCTTTTTTTTCGTGTCCGGCAACGGATCGCAACCCTCGGTGCCGCACCCGCACCTCGCCCAGCCAGTGAGCGGGAACCAGTCTGTATGTGGGATCCGAACCCTCGGCAGGAGCGCCGCCACGCTCCCAAGCGGCGCACTGTAGCAGTGCGCCACCGGGCCGGCCCTGACTACCTTTTAAAAACATGTAAAACTACATATTTCATATAAACATATAAAAACATTTTATATGTTTTATATATTTTAAACATTTCATAAAAACATATAAAACTGATATTTCATCCATGGCTAGTATTTAAAAATTAAAATACCTAATTCAAGCAAGGAAAATTATTATAAAAGCAAACACCCAGGTGTTCTAACAAGAACTTAAAATACCCAATTCACAGGTGTGGCACTGAATTTGTCTAACTATAAATTATTTTCTGTTTCTATGCAATTAACCTATTATATCATTTGATAATAGTTGCAAGAATCTAAACGTTACATTTTATTTAACTTCAGCCATGTGTGATCAAGAAACAGTTCTTACAGATAAGAAATCTTACATTTTAGTTACTTGCTCACCTTTAATTTTTAATACACTCTCTTAATAAATGTTCAAATGACATAGAACCATTTTATGAATGGGATTCTCTATCAATTCATTACTCTATGAGAATTATTTTAACGGTAATAAGAGTAAGAAAACACTCCTATTCCAAAGTTCACAGGGAAAATTGAACCCTAAAATAGAGCTCTAAAAATTTGAAGGAAAATACTGTTAATTTTCGATTGTTACTTAAAAATTTGCAGGTAGTTATTCAGAGGACTGTTTACAACTACAATAAATTTAGATCAAATCTGAAATATTTTTAAGTACATTTGGTGTTAACCTTAAAATCTTCTCATCCTAGAGGTAGCCTCCATGATCTTAAGCAAAATGAAGATTACGTTACTCATGTATACTAAGGTGTGCAGCAACTTAAAGCACCATCACTCTCTGAAAAAATACAATTCAAGACACTTCAAATAAATTTACAGTTAAGATACTATATCAATGTAAAATATAGCTACTAACAAAACTCTCCTGGTCCCCAAATATCTATTTAATGGCCAAAATTTACTATTAAAAAGACATACTTTCAACAAAATAATGGCATAAAGCACACAACAAAGTATACCATCTGTGCATCAAAACTCCCAACTCTCCAGCACTTTTCTAATACAGGATAATGTACTCCTGTCCTATGTAATATTGCTGTCATAAATAATAACATTTATGACTTCATCACATGCAAACCCATAACACATGGCAGAAGCTATAATACAAACAGCATAAACAAGACTTGCTAAATTTGCTTATTTACTACTACGGGTCATGAGAATCTGTGTCATCCCTGTCTAATGATAACCTGCAACAAAATGGAAAAAAAGAAAAACTATACAGGTTTCTAGAGTCATCTGCTTGTTTAAAATCCAACTCTTCTGCATTTGACTGCTCAACTTCTACAGTAAGGTATTATAAGGAACTTTACTTAAAAGTTTTAAAATTGTATGCCACTTTTTAATTCTAATCTAAATATGTCCTTTTAGGTAGATCAACATTCTACACTTTGAATCTTAGGCTTCAAAGATTTCAAAGTATCAGAACAATTAGCATCTATTAAGGTCTCACAGGTAAAACTTATCAATAAAGAATCAGAGATGATCACTCCACAAAAGTTCCCAAACACAAAACTTGAACATAATTTATAAATAACCCCCTAGAAACATGAATTTGTAACATCTTGTATCTCTATGCTCTGTGAACACTGACGCATACACCATTCTTACCTTATCCTTTTCATGTGGAAGGAGTGACACTGGAGGTAAACAGGAAAGAGACTCACAACTCTCTTTCCCATCCACATTGGTTGCTTTAGTGTTGAGCCGATACAGAGGTCCATCTTTAAGGAGTCTGCCGTGGCCAACGGCGCGTTTGATGGCCAATCGTAACTGCTGGTGAAAACCAGAGGCAGAACTGCCTCCAAATAATGCAGACACATCCTTCTGACCTTTCAAAAAACGTTCGATACTTTTCAAAGTTGAGCCACCAGACTCTGCCAAGCCCTCAACTGCCCGTTTGACCAGTTTATTCCAATCCACATTTTGTTTATTATCCAATTTCCCATGGTTTCGAGGTTTAGGAAGTGCTATTCGCCCAGGATTATCAGGATCTTTATAGGAATTGAGTCCTTTATTTGAGACTTTTAAAATTGTTCCATCTTTAACACTCAACTCCAATTGTTCTAAAACAGTTTTACGATCCAAGCCATGGGATGAAGACACTGCATTGCATATCCTTTCTTCTGAAGGACGCTGTTTCTGCTTCTTCACTTTTTTGATGGCCTCCAAAATCCACTCCGTATACAGCGGGTTAGCGAGTTTTACCATGGTGAAGGATTCTGTATATCCATAGAGTCGTTATCCCTTATCCTGATGCTGAATAAGTTTCACACCACGGAAAATAAGATTCTCGGAAGCTGGAAACCAGTCAACCATAGCATACAAGTTTTCTGGTCTGAGTCTTTCCTCCTTTCACAAAATAGAATGCTTCCCCACTTTTACTTAAAAACCAAAACAACCTGTTATTTGAAATGTCTTCAAACTTCCCAATAAATTTCTTTATAGCACCATGGGTCTCTTCATAAAGTTGTAAAAACTCAAAAACATCTTATTCCCAGCTTCAGAGCAGAAAAATGTGCATCTTATGCCTGTAAAACAATTAAAACAAGTTCAGTTTTCTATCAAGGCTGTAAATAAGCTATAATTAAAGCATCCTAGTCTTTTAAAGCAATCAAATAGCAAGTGTTTATTGGGCACCTGTAAGAGTTCTAACACATCTCTACTAACACTGCAAAATAATCATGTATGTAAACTATTCGGATAAAAAAAGAAAGGAAAAAAAAAGAGATGAGTAATTAGGATACAGTGAAGAAACAAGATGAAATATTCTATGAATGATATTAAGCTACAACTAACCAGAGGGGTGCTGGCTATTCTGTACTCCACAATCTCTGCTCACCAGTCTGTGAATTTCAACTCTTCCTCGATATCTTTCCCCAAGAAACTATTCAGCACTTCAACAAGTATCTGGATTAGTAGAAAGAATCCTGCAATGAAAATAAAAGTGAATCTTTCATCTTTCAAATTTCAGACATTCAGAGTGGACAAAAACAGTAAAATAGGCAGAACACAACTGGTAAAAATTTAACTATGTATTAAAAAAAAAACAAATACAATTTACACAGACCAAGCTTATAATTTAAGTACAATAGTGCCTTAAACTTTCTGAATGGAAACAAAAGTAACATTGAAAACAGCCGACTGTGAAAGTGCTTAAAGAATTTTAAACTATTTAGTTTCATTCAAGTTTTAAGACTCATAAGCCGATAGACTCTCCTACCTCAAACTAAGATATTAATATCCATATACTGGAGAGAGTAACAACTATCAAATTGTTTAAAAGCAATCTACAGAAGGAGAAACTAGAAACAAGAAAGGCCCAGAATCACTGGGGTTGAATGCACATGATCTGATATCAAATGTACAGTACAGAAAAAAATGTATCGGCTATTTGTGGGTCTGAAGAGAGGTACATCTAATAAAGGTGTGAATTCAAGACTGCTGTCCTGAAATGAACATTAATAAATAAAACACAAGTATATAAATATATTGCCTCTCTGGATCAAAGTCATTATTCTTTCATACAAAAGACTCTGGCAGATACAATTTTTAAAAAATCACTAAAATAATGAACTCTAAAACTTAAGTGTTTTTTTTTAAACTTTAGCTCTCATTATGGGGATCATTTACATTACAATATTGACAATGCTAGAAAGATGGTTCCCACAGCAACTATTCTTACCAGTGACATTAAAATGAAAAAGAAAACTAATAGATGTTAGGAAAGAGATATTACTATCAACTGATAGGAGGAAAAGGCTGAAGCAAAAACTCAAACCTGAGCCACGGCTTCTTTTAAGACTAGCTGACTAAAAACAAGCCCCCTGAGAGTTACGCTTCATCTTGGTGCGGTTCTCAAGAGGCGAGAAATCAGCTTATTCCTACTCCAAGAAAGTCCACTACACAGACATTAACGCTAAAGCAAATGAGAAGCTACAGCCCGAGTTTAAGCAGCTGGGACCGTCCAGACTGATCAAGCTCGCAGGTAGCAGAACGCATGACAGTTACTCGTCGTCCTTCCGGCGGGGACTGTCCCAATGTCCGTGTCTTCAGAAAGTGAAGCGCCTGCAGAGGCGGATCTTTACTCTCAGAAAGAGCTCGGGCGGCTCGAGAAAAAGCGCAGCTTGCTTCGCACCGCCCCTCCCCGTCCCCGTCCCCACCCCCAGACACATCTTCGCGCTCTCTTTTTAAAGGGCGAAAACTTTGAAAACTTGCACCGGCACAATCCCGCGGTCGCCGATGGGTCGCTCCGCCGCGTCCGTGAAACCCAAGTTAACAATGAAATC